AAAAAAATAACAGCCATATGAGGGCTGTGCCTGTATTTGCTGGGCCCATGCAGATGAGTTAATATGGCATTCATTTTACCCCCTATAAAGTCATGCTGGAAAATTTGTTTTAGAATTCATATGACTGGAAAAGTGATCTTTAATCTGAACATCACAATATTTTCTGTTTTCTAGTAATAAAAGCTGTACAACCGATCATCTTTTTCTTCTAACCCTGGAAGCCAGGAAGCTCAGAGTTAAAATTGAACACTCAAGCTAAAATATTGAACCTTCTTTCTGCCATATTTCCACTCTGATTTTCATCAGTCTTACATTACACGTTACTATAATATATGTGTTGTGTGTGTGCGTGTGCACGTGTGCACATGTGTATTGGGGAAGTATTTAAAATACACTCAACCTTTTGTACTAGTTTTCTATGGCTTCTGTAACAAATAACTATAAACTTGGTGGCTTAAAACAATGCACATTTATTTTCTTAAGGTTCTGGAGACCAGAAGTCCAAAATCAGTTTCACTAAGCTGAGATCAGCTGTCAGCTGGGCCTCCCTCTGAAGGTTCCAGGGTAGACTCTGTTCCTTGCCTCTTTGAGCTGGTTTACCTTGGCTTGTGGCTGCATCACTCATCGTGGCCTCCATAGTCATACTGCCTTCTCCACATCTGTGGCCAGTCTCCCTTATGATTGCACTTAGAGCCCACCTGGATGATCGAGGATTATCTCCCCCATCTCAGGATCCTTGATGTAATCACATCTACAAAATCCTTTCTTTTTTGCCTTATAAGGTAACATTGACAGGTTGGAGGGATTTGGACATGGGTATGTTTTGGGGGGCCATTACTCAGCATACCACACACACCCTTTGTGAAAGAAGTGACACATAAATACCTTCTTAAAAGTAAATAAAAATAAAATATATTAGTTTGTTTCTACACTCTAATTCATGTATAGCAAAGGAACACAGGTAAAGGAATCAGATTCCTATATTGTGACTTTCAATCGCTTTTATGAATTGCATCTAGTTTTCTATTGTATTTACTATTTAGTTATTGCTGGAGTAGAAAAATATATTTGATCTTAAGACATTGATCTTATGTCCACTGACCTTGCTAAGTACTCTTACTAAGTTTTAAAATGTGCATGTGTTTTTTTTTTTTTTAAAGATTTTATTCATTTATTTGAGAGAGACAATGAGATAGAGAGAGCATGAGAGGGGATAGGGTCAGAGGGAGAAGCAGACTCCCCGCCGAGCAGGGAGCCCGATGCGGGACTCGATCCCAGGACTCCAGGATCATGACCCGAGCCGAAGGCAGCCGCCCAGCCAACTGAGCCACCCAGGCGCCCCTAAAATGTGCATGTGTTTTACACTGTCTGCATGCATCCTATCTTTGCCAGTAATTCCTAAACTATCGAGCTAGGTAGCCTAATGTGATTTGGATGGTCGGAGAAGGCTTCTGTAAGACAGTAAGGTTGAATTGTAATATTCTGGTTAGAAAAAAGAGTGAGCAGAGGGGACAGTATGAGCTATGTCTGTGAGATCATTTCACCTGCAAAATTTTGTCTCTTTTTTCCCTTCTCAGTACCTTTTGTTGTGAAATTTTGTCTAATTATGTTTATCAGGACCTCCAGGATTTTGTCGAGCAGTTAGGATAATAAAAAGTAATCTCATCTTGTTTCTTACGTTAGAGGGAATGTATCTAACATTTCTCCAGTGAGCATGGTATTTGCTGGAGATTTCTGATGTATATACCATTTATGGCATTGAGAAAATGACCTTCTGTAGCCTTCAGGACAGATGATCAGTATCCTGTGCTTGAGTAGCCACTAAGGATTATTTTATTTGGCAGTCTAATTCCATAGCCACAGAGCTCCATCGCGGTGAACTTCATGAGGGCAATGACCATTAACTTGCTATGGTATCCAGTGTCTGGCACAGTGCCTGGGACCCAATTAGGCATTCAATATTGAATGAATGAACGAATGAAGGAATGGAAGATACTTAATACATATTTTTGGATGAATGAATTAAAGTTAGCAAATTATTATTTAAAGTGAGCCAAAAATCTCACTCCTTTCCATACCCATCATAAAATGAATTGAGTTCATGGTGCTGCCATTCTTGCTTCCTCTCAGCCCGTGGCATGGTCAGCTAGTCATTTGACATATGAAGGAATATATGAGTGAGTCAGTTCCAGAACATTCTGCCCATGGCCATTAGACTTTGCCCCTAGAGATTCACATTTATTTGAACTGAAGCCAGGTGGTTAAAGATGATTTAATCAGGACAAAAATAAAATACGCTCTTTAATAGAATAATAGCTTATTTCATTTTTTCCTTAAAGTTAGCCATTTATTTCATGCCATTGTCTTTAAATTTATACATGTTGTCCATGGAGTAATGAAAGTGATTACTCTGAATGAAGTCAAAAGTATTCACTAAGGACTGTCTTATTGTGTGACTAGAGAGTTTATGATTCCAGTATTAAACTAGAGATGGGTTGGGTACAGTGGCAGGCTTAGAGTTTACATCAAAGACAGAGTTGAACATCTGAGTAAGGACATACACAGATTTGTCGGGGAGCAACTGAGGGAGGGTGGTTGTCATAAAAGAGGCAGGAAGTTAGGTAAGAATGTCTTAATAGTTTTAAATACTTGATGATGGTGGTTCTAATGCTGTGTGTACTTCCCGTTTCAAAGGGGTATTTCATTTAGTAAGTTAGTTCATGTAACACCCCATATTAGAATGTCCAATGTCTTGAAATTGATTACCTTTTCCTAACTTGGGACTCTGTTCAGAAAGCCTTTGACGACACCATCTTGCCTAGAAGTAAAAGTCACTTAGTTTAGGCATCTCCAGCTCTGTGCACCCCCTCTCCTAGCACACACGCTGCTCCAGCTGTGTGTCATGGGTTCTTATAATAGGGGTCTTCCTTCTCTGGAGTTTTTGGAAGAGGCCTCAGAGACCAGGTCACTTATGCAGGACTTGCTAAAAGATTGCAAAACTTGCCCTGGGGTATAAAATAGAGATGGAGGAAGTCAAAAGTGAGGACTAAGGAAGGAGGCTGAGGTTGACTATTGTATCTGAGATACTAAGCAGAAAGTGAGGGCTGCTTTTGGGAACAGGTGTATGTCCACTAAAAACAAGGCAAAGGTGTGTGTGGGCCCAGCACAAAGGAGCCAACTGTGCAGATCTTAAGTGGGACCCCATCCAGAAGGTTCAACTGAAGAAGCAGTGTGATCCCCATAGATAGGTAAACCACTGGAAGACCAGGGCTGAAAGGGAGTTGGGAGTAGAGCAGGGGACAGAGAGCAAGCTAGCTTCAAGCATACTACTGTGGGGAGGTGGAGGGAGTCCCCAGGGGGACATTGCAGTGAATCACCAAGACCACAGGACAAGAGAGCTCATATTGGATATGCACCCCACCCTGAGAACATATATGGAAGCCCAGTGACGACCATATCAGTTAAGTAAGACCTTCCCTAGGCACCCTACCCCCTATGTGGAGTGCAGAGCCCTTGGAGGAGAAGGTGGAGCAAGAAAAGAGAGAAGCAGGATAGCTCCCCTCCCCTTCTCTAGGTATGCTTCTAAGCCTGAAATAAACTGTTGCTATAGGAGGGAGAATTTTTAATTCAGTGAGATGGGAGTTTTAATTATTACAATGGAGTACACACATTTGTGTACCATGTTTACTTGAAGGTAAACAGTGAACTGTTTGTTATTTAAGAGTTTAGGAATACCATGGATCCACCTAAAATTCCATCACAGGACAAGGAAAAACAGTTCACAGAACAAGTTTAACAGGGAGTAGTGCAGTGAATAAAGCTGTTTTCGTCCTGTACACCTACCTGTAAAGGTCCTTTAATAAACCAGGACATACACAGGCTCTTTGCATTCTCCCCCTTCTGCATTGACAAATCTCTTTTTCTACTTAATCATTTAAGATTAGAGCATGCTATAATAGCTGCCTTCTAAAGAACCAGAGGGAGGGAGGGAAAAAACCAAAAACAAAAACTCTCTTGACCCCATATCCCACTCCTAATTCACCATTTATCTACTCGTCTTTACTTATCCTCCCTCTATCACTCTTCTCCTTGTTCATACCACTCAAGCTATACTGCTAATATAAGACAGCAAGCACATCCCTGCCACAGGGCCTTTGCACTCGCTCTTACCTTTCTGCTTGTATCATGCCTAACTGCATGCTTCACTCCCTCCCTCCCTTACAGTCTCTGCTTAATGCAACCTCATAATTAAGGTCCACCCAGATCACCCTTTATTAAAATAGCAATGCTTGCCCTCACCATACCACTTAACCTCTCTCTCCTGCTTTATTTTTCTAAATAGCATTATCAGACCTGACATATTATATATTTGAATATTCATGTGTTTTTATCACCCCACTCTCCATCAGATCATATGTTCCATGAAAGTGGGAGTTTGTTTTTTCACAGCTATGTCCTTGCCCCTTGAACAGTGCTTTGAATATAGTAGACACTTACATTCAAGAGATACTTCTTGAATGAAGGAATGCTTTCTAATTTGCTTTAGCCTTTCCACATGCCATTCCTTCGGGCAAGAAAGCTTCCTTTTACCCCTTTTCCTTACAGCTGAGCCCCAGCCGAGCCTGCTAAGATTCTGAGTATCCTTTGAGGCTGCATTTCCATGCCCCCTCCTCTGTGCCCCTGCCCTGGCCAGATTTAATCTCTCTCCTCAGGACTCCTAGCTCTCAGTTCTGTTTCACTTTAATCAAGTTCATGCTCTTAACCACTACATGGAACTGCCTCTCAGACTTACACGTTCTTGATTTTTAGGTTTACAGATGACTAACTCAGCAACCACAGGTCCTTCTCACATTGTAGAACTGGAACGTGGCTGTCTTTGAACTCCGTGCAGCAGTGTGCATCCTAAATCTAGAATTTTCAGTTCTGCAGCCCCGCCACATGTATTTTCCATCCTCCTTCTCTTTCTCCAGTTGTTTTTCTTCTTCTCCTCCTCCTCCTTCTTCATCATCATCATCATCGTCATCATCATGCAAAGGTCCAAGGGCGCATGACACATCCGTCATTTTCTTCAAGCTTCTTTTGTTCACTGTTAAGGAAGAAGTGCACCTCTTCCGCTGAGTGTCCTTCCCCGTGACTATGGGGAGTGAGAATTCTTCCTCTCACTTGGCCTATTTAAATGCTGAAACGCCCCGATCCGTTAAAATCAAATACTGAGTGGTGGCGCTCGATAATGGCTTAGGTGAACTTTTCCTCTAGTTTATACATGGGGGAAATGACTTGGAGCTGTGGATCACATAGGTCATTTTAGATCTTCCCTGAAAGCTTTTGGGGGATGAGGCATTGATCAGTCACCTAAGCTTTGTGCCTTCCTAGTTAAGATCCCATTAGGTTTTTGGCCAAGAACATGGTAATATTTCACGACAGAACTTGGAAAAGTTAAAAATTTACAGATGAATTAATGCTTTTTTTTTTCCTTTCCCCCTTTTAACTTAATCCCTTATTTTTTATTCCCTGAGACCATTTGCATGAGGAGGAATTTCATTAGAATCCCCAGGTGAAAAATTCTTCATTGGACACAATTGGGCCTAGAGATAAAATGACTCACAACTTGTGTTGAGTGAGATATATTAAATGGTGTCCTAAGCAGCTTATTTATGAACTGCTGGTCACCAATGTAAACACTACCTCTTCTCTAAAGCTTGGCCTAGCTTCCTCCCGTGACCCCAGGCAAAAGTAGCCTCCTCTTCTTTTGTGTTACTGTAGCAATTTATATATATGTTTGTTGTTACACCCATTTTATTTTGTAAAAATGTATTAAATGTGTGTCCCTGCCACTACACCTTGAGCTCCTAGGGGCTGCCGCTGTGGCTCATTCATCTCTGCATACTCAAGGTCTTAGATGTAGCAGACAGACAGTAAAAGTTGAAAGAATATACTGAGCTACAGTCTGTCTAGTCCCATCAATACAGTCACTGGACATTTGCTGAGTAACTGCTTATATGCCAGGTATTTTAACATATTTGGTGTTCTCTATTTCTTACAGTTTCCCTACAAAGCATTGCTATCCCTGTTATAGATGAGAGGGTAGATAAGGGATTTACCCCATCACATGGTAAGTGGCAGACCTCGCTTTGATTTCAAATCACTTGAAGCCATTCTGTGTTCTGTCTCCTTCATCAGAGCTTAACACTTTTTTCAGGCACCATCTATAATGTTTAGCTACCAACTCTATAACACCATGAAATAGATTCCTGTAATTTTAATCATTCATTTGATGAACAGAATGGGAGACCCCGAAGGAACATGTAAAGATCATCTAACTCAATACTCTCAAATACAGAAGACAGAATGGAGTCCTAGAGAGGAAAAAGATCTTAGCCCAAATTGCTCCTACCAGTTCGAAACATGTTATCCTTCTCCTTTCCGTGGGGGGAAATCGGAGGGGGAGACGAACCATGAGAGACTCTGGACTCTGAGAAACAAACTGAGGGTTCTAGAGGGGAGGGGGGTGGGGGGATGGGTTAGCCTGGTGGTGGGTATTAAAGGGGGGACGTATTGAATGGAGCCCTGGGTGCTATACACAAACAATGAATCATGGAACACGACATCAAAAAGTAATGATGTACTGTATGGTGACTAACATAACATAATAAAATAAAATTAAAAAAAAATCCTTAGCATTCTAATGACCATTTGGATTCTAGAATGGTCAATGACCATTGACCATTCTAATGACTCACCATGGAATTACTCTTCACATTCTCTCCCCTCCAGCCCTGCTCCCCTGTACTCCCTGCTGCTTCCTTTCCCTCTGCCTGCAATGCCCTTCCCTCCACTCCTTCTCCTGTCTCACTCCCACTTAGCCTTCACATCTAAGCTCAGGCATCACCTCTTCCTAGACATTTTCAGAATAAGTGAGGTGGAGTATCTGTGTGCTCCCATGGCACATACCTGTGGCACAGGGCATACTCCTCCCTGTTTGTTGTTCGTTACCTGGGTGTCTGTCTTCCTTGTTCGCGTGGCCGTGAATTCCTTGAGGGCAGGTGTTGTGGCTGATTCATTTCTATAGCACTTGTGTCTAGTACAGTCCCTGGAACAAAGTGACTTTCAGTAAATTTTGCATGAAACAGTCACTAGCAGGATTCCACTGTGAAGGGTGACAAGCCTTGGAGATGTGTGGTGGTGAAGGCTCACCTTTTTGATATCTGGAAGGTGTTCTTGAAGACTCTCCCAGTATTGAGGATCCAAGGGAACCCACCATTTCTTAATGCCACAGCTATGTACTGGTATCTCTACTGTTTGAGTGCTTTTGTTGAGTTGCACCAAGAACTTCTGAAGAAAGGTCTGGCATGGCATATGCAGGTGAGCCTCTCACCTAATACTGATGATCTCATGTGTCTGTTTTCTACTGTCACTAAGGAAAATAAAGTGCATTCATGTCCTTTTTATAGTGTGGTATAACTGACTACAGGATGTGTCCCTGTGCAACATCTGTCTTCTTACCAAAATCAAAGCTTTAAATTAAGTGAGTGAGGCTCTCCTCTGGTACATCATCCTATAGGAGACCAGAAGGATGATGGCTTTGGGGGGATTATAAGGGTGTTTTTGACTTCTCTGAAATCATGTACATCCATTCTCAACACTATACCAACAGAGAACTTACTGGCCTTAGAAATAAAAGGAACAGTCTTAATTTTGACATTGACACTTTCTGACTAGGTGAACTTAAGTGATTCATTTGATTTTTCAGGGCCTCCATCTCTTTATCTAAACAGTGATGGCTTTGGGGCACCTGGGTGGCTCAGTTGGTTAAGTGTTCAACTCCTGACTTCGGCTCCGGTCATGATCTCAGGATCGTGAGATCGAGCCCCAAGTCCGGCTCCACGCTCAGCGGGGAGTCTACTTGAGATTCTCTCCCTCTGCCCTTCCCCCCCCCAAAATAAATCTTTAAAAAAATTAAAATAAAATAAAAAGCACTGGCCTTTCCTACCTTCTAGATATATCAAACATTGGTTGAACTAGTGATTGTAACAGCTGTCTGGAAACCCTCTGTAGCATGGAGACATCTTAGGTGCATTGACATGGACTGGGAGGAGGGGATATTTAATGGGGAACATACTTGATATGGGGTATTGCCTCCATGGAGGTGTACTTTTACCTCTGGCCACATGTAAGAGTCTCTCTGTAGGGTGTTGGGTACGAGGCTGGTACCCTCATCTGAATCCAACTCTGGGTGATGATCCTCACCAAGACTTTCAGAGTAGGGAGAGCTAGTGGAGTGCATTTAAGCCAAAGTCATCAGGGAGAGTCAGGATTTGGAAGACTAAATTCAAATGCTAGTCCTCTGGACCAGGCATGTCATGGAAGAGGGATGAAGCAAGGGTCTTGGGCCAGATCTTAACCAGATCAGGGCAGAAGCATGTCTGGAGTGGCTGGCAGTTGCCCTCTGCCCCTTTGCAATGTCCTGGGATCACCATTTATGTATTGGCAGATGAGGTAGTTTAAAAGTCCAAGGTCAAGGTAGCACTTTGGGGCCATTTAAAGCATGGAGGGTCTGAAGGCTGTGGGGAGGGTGAATTGGGAAAGAGGAGATGGATAAAATGAGGTGAGGCAGTGAAGGGCTTTTAGAGAAACAGATTTTGAGGCAAAGCCTCTTTTCCCCTGCCTGGAACTGTTGACTTAGCAAAACAGAAGAAACCACACATACTTCCACACCATGAAGCTGATCTGGAGCTCAGAGGCTCTGCAGGGCCAGGGAAGGCCTAGTTCTGTGTGGAAGAGTTATATAGCCTGTGACCACAAACTTTTGGGCAACGTAACAGCTGATTATCATTCATTATGCATTCAGTTGTGAATCAGAACAAACTGAAATGAACCACTGTGTAAGTCCAGCCTCTGGTAATCCTGAATACGTGCTTGGGATGGGAGGGGACGGCGGTGGGTGTGTGGGCTTCTAGCTACAAAGTAACCAAAACACAAATTGGGATTATTTCCCCATTGCCTTCAAGAGAACAGTTCCAACTACTTAGCCTGTCGTGAAAGAACCTTTCATGATCTGTCCTCTGCCTGTCCTCCGACTCATAGGTTTGATTTTCTTTTTTTATCTCCTGCTCCATGGAAAAAGCCTTACCTTGAGCAAGTTATATGACCCCTGTAAGCCTCAGTTCCTGCGTCTGTAAAATGGAGATACTGATACCTGTCTTTACAAGCCTATAATAATTATGAAATGAGATAGTTCACGTAAAGCCACGAACATAGTCCTTTGCTCACGGCATATGGCAACTTGACATGTGTGGGATTTTTCTCATTATTACTGTAAATTCTACATTCCAGCCAAACCATAGCACTCTCTTCAAGCCATTGTTGTACTAAGAACTTAGACCTTTTTCGTAGATTAACTGTCACACACCCTAACTACGTTGAAAACTAGGACAAGGACAGTATCCCTTCATCTCTGTTTCCCCAGAACCTGACCCCCATAATAGGTGCTCAGTTAAATGTTTGCTGAAGAAATGCATGAAGTGTCTCTGTTCTGGAGAATCTTGATTCTCAGCAGATGCTTCATGAGCCCTCCTCCCCCCGGCCATTACCCATACTAGGCACCTACTATGTGTGGGGAAACCATACCAGGTGTTTGGCATGCATGATCTCAGTTAATAGCCCCGCCCCCCCAAAGGCAGCTATTATGTAAACTCTTGACAGATGAGTACAGAGCCTCAATTAGCAGAAATGCCTCAAGTGTAAACATTAGATGGCTTTTTTACCATGAACCACCAGGAACTCAAACCGAGATCCAAACAATCCTCTTGGTCTGGCATGAAAAATGAGACCCAGATTTCTTCCACCTAAAACTCACTCTGTCTCCAGCTATTCCCACCCTCTACCGGCACAGAGCGGTGGTTTGCACCTTACCAGGATTAGCCAGACCAGTCTGTACTCTGAACTCAGAAAAACAGAGATTAAACATTTCCCGGCTTTAAAAAAAAATGAGAGTAGAGAAAGTTAAATAATCAGCTCTTACTTGTTGATTATTTACTGTGGACAGGCGGCATGTCAAGGCTTTCTCTGCATTGGCTCTATTCTGTCCGAACATCTTGGAAGGTGAATGTTCTTTTGTGCCTTTAACACTGGAGGAAACTGGCATCTCTCAGGGTCTCAGAGATGGATTGTGGAGTTGTGATTCCTGACCGGGCTGAACTAAACAAAACTCTCTCCATGGCACTAGTCAGCCTGGAGGAAGACTTGTCACCGGCCCCCAGGCCTCACGGAACCCCCAAACCTTCTCTGTATCCTCCAGAGGCAGGTGTGCAGGGATGTTTCCTCCTTCCACAGCGGAGTGCTCAGTCACCACCCTAAGAGTGCAGGCCAGTGAAGTGGACAAATAGCTCTTACTCCTCACTCCGGCATCTGTCCCTCAGGTGAGAGCCAAATTCTCAAATTGCGAGGCCAATGGCAAATCGGTCTACACCACACACACAGGGTATCAACACACAGGGAGTTCTGCTGGAATTCACACATCCTGGAAGCCAGGCTGGCATTGGTGGCCGGTTTCATTTAATCTTGTCTCTGATGGCTGCATGATGAGTGAAGAGAGGGAGGAAGGCAGGAGCGTAGGAAGCACACAGATATCCAGAAACTGGGTTTGGTTTGCCCCTTGAGAGTACCTTTAGGCACTGCCCTGAGCGTCTTCTGGCAACCCACAGCAACAGCTCACATGTCCAGGGAGGGGGAGGGCTGTTTCTACCAGCCCCTTACATTCATCTGACTTCTGTGGTTCTTCAAGTAGCCAGGTATGAGAAGAGCATGGCCTTTGGAATCAGACTGACTCAGATCACTTCTGCCACTTGGCATATATGACCATAAACACGTCTTTGAACTTCTGTGAGTCACTGTTTCTTCATCTGTAAACTGAAGGAAATGGCTGGATTATCATGAAGATGATGCACGAGGATGTGTATAAAACAGTCAGCACCTAGTAGGTGCTTGGCAAATGTTAGCTGCCTTCCCTCCCTTCCCCACCCCACCCCCATTCATTCACCTGTAATGCCTTAAAAAAAAAAGCCATTATAATTGTCCTTTGTTTTTTGTGAGCTACATGTGTTACTGATTAATAACACAGAAACTGTTTAAACCGCACTCACAGAACTGTAACCCTGCCCTACATCATGTCATAGCATTTCACAGATAGCTGTTTTTCCCCCTTTTTTCTTCCCTGTTACCCCCTTTTTTTCTCCTTTTCTCTAAGGAAGTCCAGATGGGCCCGATACATTCTTAGACACTGGGTAGCCTCCGCCAAGGGTTAAAATCAGGTCTGTTTCACATGCAGATGATCTATTCATAACAAAAGCTGCCTCCTGGCCCTGGGCCCCAGCTGAACACTGTTCCTCTCAAGCCCTCCTTTTCATTTGTTTCTGATGGTTTCGCAGTGTTTACATATCTTACTTATTAGCATGGTCTTTTATAGAGTACGGGCAGAGGGCAAACCCCCCAGGATCCGCTTTCCCTCTCAGTGCCCTTTCTTCCTTGAGTCTTCCTACCTCTCTGAACCATTTCCCTTTCATAGGAACTCATTCAAATAGGGAAGCAATTTTTAAGTCTTTCCTTTTTCTTTTTTTCTTTAACGTGAGAGTCACTTCGCATTCTCAAAGAACTGCTGTTGAATATGGAGAAGAGGGGAAAGATACCACTGGAATGTGTGATTTTTTTTTTCTCTCTCTCCCTCTTCGATGTAGGAAAACCCCATCATGTCCATTGACTTTTCGAGGGACATCTTCCACTCAGGGCACAAGGGGTGCTGGGCTGGCCCCAGACCAGATGTTGAAGATGGTTCTGTCTGCCTTCTCTGTCCATGCCTCTCCTGTTTACACCCTTTTTTCTCTTTGAAAAGAAAAAAAAAGGTGTCTCAGGAAGCCTGTGGACTCTTGAGTCAGATTTGAGTCTAAAAGCTCGTTCTGCCCTCTTGGTGAGTCTGGGAGCTTAGCCTAATGTCCCTGAAGCTCGGTTCCCATCGAACCTGGGGGACACGGGCTTGCCCAGCATCTCGGGTCGGGGAAATGGCTATACCAGTGCCCCATGTGGGGATGAGAGAAGCTCCGCATAGAGGGCGGCAGCTCCCTGGCACGCTGGCCTGGGACGGGTTCTGAGCCCTGGCCCGGCGATGGCAGGAGGGGGGCCTGGATCAGTCTGACATGGACATTCTGGTCTGTGTGCTACTTATGTGCTGTCCCTCCTGACCTCTTAGGCAACCCAAGTACATGGGGTTCCCACCCTCTCCATCTTTCTCCAGACCTCCTCCCAGCTAACCATCACGATTTTTTAATGCTCTTGCAGCCTGCTTTGTTATAGAGAAGATGTGAGGGATGAAATCCTTCACCCTAATTAATACTCGATAACCACTTGTCAGCCTCTAATACTTTTCGCAGTCCTTCAGTCGGAGAACTATGCAAGCGTCTATGCACAGTTTTTAGTTCTCTTTGCCCGGCCACTTTAGCCTTCTCCTCTTGTTTTAGGCCACAAGTGCAGAGAGAGTTCTGAAGATCTGGATCCTTCAGGTCCAGACTTGTATGGACATGTCCCAAATCCCCTGAGCTGAACCTGAGAAGACAGGAGTGCGTTCTTTTGGAGAGCGCTTCCAAAAGGCAGGGATTGATGCATATGCCCAGCAATTCTGACTTTTTTCAAAAGAGGCCCCAATATAATTCAGCCAAGGTTCTCTTTGCCTTTACACCATATGCTGTTAACAGGGTATGTCTCAGGTGCATTTGTTCCTAGTGACATGTCTTTCAAATAGAAATGAATCCATCTGAATGATCATGTTGATTTGTATCTTGCTCTTCTCTAGAACCAATACAAGCCTTGTTCCCTACTTCAGAATTCTAGTCAAGATGGTGTCAGATCTTTTTAAAATTAAATGCCTCCTTGTAATCTGCTCCATAAATAAGAAGTACACCTTGGCCAGTATAGGGGTGATGATATTAGGACAGGCTCCATTTCCCTGGGTTACTGAATGTACCAGGCACTGTACCAAGGCCTATAATAGACTGTGCCACATTTAATCTTTACAAGTCTATAAAAGAGGTCCTATCTGCCCCATTTTTCAGAGGAACACCCCGAGGACCGATGTCATATAGCAAGTTAGGACTAAACACTGAGAGTCAGACCAGTCTCTAAATCTGTGGTCAGATTTATGAGACGATAGCTGAGACTAGACACTGGTATCAAAGAAAAAAGGTTGTAACAAGGGAAACTCAGAAGCCAATCAGGAGCCGGGCAGGAAGAGAAAGTGTCCACAGTTTAGCAGTCGGAAATCAGAGGATATCTGACAGAGGTGCGGTGCGTTCAGGTGCCATGTGCTTGTTTCAGGGAAAAGCCTGTGTCATCCTCGTCTGCACCTGCTGATCAGCCTCGGCTCTAAAGGCTGCCCTGGGCATCTTTTTAACTGAAGTCTGTAAGGGATAGCTGCTTTTCCTAACAGCTGGTTTAGAATCAAAGGAGGACATTGGTTGGGTCGTATTTGAGAAGCACTCAATTAGTCCTATGCTCATTCCTGGGGATGTGGCAGAAATAGAAGATACGGTTCCGACTCTGAAAATCCAGCTCACTATGTGACATTGAAGCAGAGCTAAGAATCCATCTGGTGACCAGCACACAGAAAGGGCACCCTCTCTCCTCTTGCTCGCCGCCTCCCCTTCCCCCACCCACGCCACCAGCCCCTCCTCTCTTACTCATGGGATCCACAGAAGAGACCAGGAACTGTTTACCCACCACAGATTGTTTAGGCTGTGAAAAAGATGCAAGCTATGATTTTTACATCTTTGGGGTCACACAGCTCTTGGAGCTTTCAAAGCTGAAAGCCTGTCTGAGCTCACTGGAGCCTGTATAGAGGAGGCCAAGTGTGGCTTCTTATCTGTGAAGGAGAGAAAATTGGGGGAAATTTTAGGCAGGCCTCAAAGTTTTCTTGGCTACTCCATCTCTTGCAAAGCAACTTTGGGTGTGTTTTTAGTGTGTTTTAAGTGTATGTGAATGAGAAACATATGGATTAAATTTCTATTGTGATCACATATGGGTTTCAAAATGATGAAGATTAAGGAATTCGGGGTTTAGGGAGTCCAAAATAGTTGGCAAATAACTCAGGACATTGCAAGCAACATTTGGCTGCCTCCCTCCATCCCAAATTTGGGGACTGTTTGGTTGGGTGACAAACCCGTTCAGTGCCCTCCTGCCTGCTCAAACTGCTAAGCCCCAGGAGATATCTGTGGACAGGTTTCATGTGTTCTTGTTTTGCTCAAACTGAAATAAGGGGATTGGATTTCTAGGAAGGGCATATGTCTACTGGAGGACTCTTAACCTTTCAGAAACCTCCAACCAGAGAAGAGGAAAATTTGGCAAGCCTGAGCTTTATTAACTCTGTGCCACTTATGGGTGATGGAACACGTGTCCTGTGACATTGTTGACAATTTCAGCCATGTGCTGCATTGTGTGATTTAGTTTATAAAGCATTTTATATGCATATTACATACTAAATACACATTACATGCGATTTATAGGTACAAGTATATACACATGCACGTACTTAATATACACAATATACTGTGTATACATGTAACATATATTGTGACAGCCTACAGTGTAGAAGTACAGAGGGTTAAGGAAGATGTAAGAAGAAGCAACTCAACCAGTCAGGGTTTAGAAAAGCTTCCCAGAGGGCGCCTGGGTGGCTCAGTTGGTTAAGCAACTGCCTTCGGCTCAGGTCATGATCCTGGAGTCCCGGGATCGAGTCCCGCATCGGGCTCCCTGCTCGGCAGGGGGTCTGCTTCTCCCTCTGACTCTCCCCCCTCTCATGCTCTCTCTCTCTATCTCATTGTCTCTCTCAAATAAATAAATTAAAAAAAAAAAATCTTTAAAAAAAAAAAAAAGAAAAGCTTCCCAGAGCAGATAATATTGAGCTGAATCCTATAAAAGGACATGGAAGAGTTAGTCAGGGAGAGGTCAGAAGGAATGCCTTTTAGAGGAGAATTTATGAAGACATAGAGATGAGAAAGAAAATGGCACACTTGGGGGAATTTCTAGGCTATGATGGGCTTCTTGGAGTAAAAATGATGGAACAAACAGTGAGGAAATGGTACCATGTGTGATAAGGCGAGACACATAGATAAAAGCCAGGTCAGAAAGGTCTCATATGTCATGG